GAATAAAACTCACCACAGAACTCACTTCCCCCCCTCTGGCATTCGTAATTTCATTTTGTATCTCTTATCAGCTCTGATTGGATTGTAAAATTGTTAGAAGCCAATTAATTGATAATCCCACGTTGCGTGATTTATTACGGCGTAAGCTTTCACTTTCGACTTGTGGGAGGAGGAGTGTGGGGCGGGAGGGGTCTGCTGGGGCTGACAAACGCCTGCATGTAATACTTTTATGCATATTTCGTGCATATTTTTCTGACATTGTAAGTGGCTGAGGATGCCAGCAATAAATTATTGAATGAGCACTGCCAGCAGCAACAACAGTCGCCCCCAGAAGGAGCAGAAAGGAGACAGCAACAGAAACAGAACCAAAACCAGACAAAGACAGAGTGCCGGCTGGAGGGCAGGGGGCAGAGGACAGAGTCGCTTTCATATGTAAACCACATTAATCATACGCCCCGTTTGCGTTTTCATTTACGCCACTGACATATGAAAAAATGAAGTAGGAATGGTATAGTCGATATTCGGACTGTCTGATACCCGCTAACAGTACCGAAAAAAGCAGTCACTTTTAAAATCATCCCAAAGGAAATGACAGTACAGCAGAGGCTGTACTCCGATAGGGGGGAGGATAGGGGGCTCCGATAGCCCCCACTAATGATTGAATACAATATACCCTTGGCCGTCCGCAAATACCTCGCTTAAGCAGAACGAGAACGAGGGAACGAATGAATCAAAAAATGAATGAATAACAGCAGCAATAACCGTGGCAAGAGCAGAAGGAGCAGTCACAGGCACAGTCACAGGCGCAGTCACAGGCACAGTCACAGGCGCAGTCACAGGCACAGCCACAGTCACAGGCAGAACAGAACCGCAGAGCAGCAGCGCAGCAGTCACTGTTAGGGTGCCGGGTTAAATCAGCCATGAAATGCCATCTACACTATGCCCCGCCATAAAAACGAAATCCGGGACGAACAAAAATACACTAGAGGAATATACATATATATATATATGTATATATACTCGGAGTATTCTCGCATTTCACTTCATTGCACTTAAATGGTTGTTAATAAAAATGGAAAATGGAAATCAATGCCAGATGCACAGGGAAAACCGTTGAAAGCGTTTACGTTTACAATTTACAATTTACAATTGTTCGTTTTCCCCAACGAAATTCCCCAATCATTCCATTCGAAGGATAGGCAATACATGAACAATTATGAAATTCATTCTGTGTTGTATATCCAATTAAACGTTATGTATTTTGTATTTATTTAGCAGAAATATTTATTGATAGTTTAGGGGGGAATAAAGGGCCAGGGATAGCTGGGAGATCTGATAACAGATCTGAGATCAAACTAAAAATCCCACTGCTTAGGATCGAGTACATTTGTTAGCCTCTAAACCAAATCAGCTACCATCCAAATCAGTGTGTGCAACTGCTAATCTAATTAAGGTTCTGAAGGGCTAGCCGATAGCAGGCCGTTTCCCACAGAATACCCTTTAGAAGCAGACCCTAGAGTGTCAATCAAATGCGGTCAAACTGTCACAGAAGCAGAAATCAGACTCTGCAGCAGCAGCAGAACAAGCAGCAGTAAAAAAGAAACCCCAAAATCAATTAATTTTATTGGCCATCTTCCCGTGCAGTGCCGTTCCGTGCCCCAGCCACTAACCGCACAGGGGAAAACAGAAATGTCATTGTGGTGGAAAACTATTTCCCAAACAGAGTGCCATTCGCCTTTGTTTGTACCCTTTTTACCCTTACGGACAGTACGAGCTGTGAGGCTATCCCAAGAGGAATTGCCATTGGATAGGTCTGGTCGGTCGGTCTTAAACAAAGATACAGATATTAAGATAAGGGTTGGTACTGAAAATGTGTGATCGTTCTTGATCGTCGCATGCCGCCCCAACCACGTATTATATATTCCTTACACTCATAATTAATCGATGCAGCATACGGTTGCCGTATCCCAGCAAAGAAAACGGAAAGTTAATTCCGATTATATCCGAAAGAAGAAAGATGGAAAAAAAACAATTGCTGTCCTCTGATGTGCTTACGGGGCACTCAAAGAGAATCGGATCTGGCCAGTGGAGGGCATTAAAATCGTCCACTTTGCGCGGTTGATGGATGGATTGCCTCGAATGGACCGGAGCACACGCCACAAGGACGAGGGTTTGAGAAGAGATCAAGGGTGTTTCTTATTCGTTAGGTGCCTGCTTGATTCATTCTCCTTTTTGTATTGTTTGTCATTGCACAGAATCTAAATCTGACTCTATCTCGGCATCCCGACATTGACAAAAGTGCAAGGGATTAAAAGTTGTGCACGGGACCCGAAAAAAAGCCATTGGTGGCTAACCACATGGATACATGGATACACGGACAGACACAGCCGTACACCTTTCTTTTTTTCAGCCGCACTGAGGCATTGAAGTCACGTAGTTTGCGTGCAAATTTTGTGTTCGTTTCTGGGCGCGGTGTGCCGTTGACAACGGGTTGTTTTGTGGGTGGTGGTCGGACGTTTGTCCGGGTCCGGGTCCGAGTCCGGGTCTACTGCTCTGCTGGCCTTGGTTCTGGTGCTGGTGCTGGGACCCTTTTTTGATTTGGTTATGTTGCTAAATTTAATTCCGGCTTAGCAGCCGCACTCTCTGATGTTGTGCTGATTAAATTGCGCCTCCGACATTTACGTGATTTCAATGCACAATTTGTAAGCCAATAATAGCCATATGGGTTGAGAGCCAGGGAAACTTTTAATTAGTTTAGTGTCAGTCGAAAAGTGTTTTTGTCGCCTTGGCACATCCATTCTTCCTGCCTTGGGATGTGGTCTGGGCCCCACTTTGCAGTGGCTTCGGACTCGGATTCGTATTCGGATTCAAAGAGGTGCCAAGTTCTATATATTCATAGATCGACAGATAACCGCACCCATGTGCTAACGTCTGTTTGCTCGTCTCGAAAATTGTTGAATGCCCCAAGCTCCATCCATCTGGCCCTTTCTCCTATGTGTGGTGCATGTTTCCTTCTGTGTGCGTCCAAACCGTTTGCTTAGATCGTAATCGCTGTGGCAGGTGTACAGCGAGGCTGCCGTTGCCTGGGTCACACTTGCCACACGGCTCCCCTCTCTCCTGCTGGCCATGACCACACTGCACGTCCAATTAACTTGATGTCGTGGCACTCTGTTCGGGAGAATTTCCGAGGTGAAAAGTTGCCAGCCAAATCAAATGTGTCGAGGCGGGGGAGAAATTGCGCGACTGTCATCCAGCGAAGTCTCTGATGCTGAGGTGGAGCTCGAGCTGCCCCTTTAGCCAAAGTGGAAGTGTATGGGGGCGAAGACCACACAAATTATGTGAAATTATCTCTACAGGAATGAAAGCTAGGTCTTCCTTTTGTATATCATATACATATCATAAACCTGAAGAATGAAAGTGGATCCAAAAGGCAAGCCTTAATTTGGAGCAATTGGAATTTGTGCAATATGCCCAAAATAAATTCATTATCTTTCAAAAAAGAGTATACAGATTTCAATAGTTTGTTAAGCATACATTCTTTTTTTCATTATTTCTTTTATATTTGCTACGTTTTTCTCTCTCACTTTATCTTCTTTTGCGTTTAGTTTCTGGCTTTCAGCCCAATTTAATAGTTTTTCGATTTGTTGAAAAGCAAATGCCAGCCAGAGCACAGAAAATAAATTGTCACAAAAATACTAGTCAACTCCTCTCGTTCTGGTTCTGTTCGCCGCAAAAACCGCCGGGCCATACGGGCCGGGCAGGCATGACGACAAAGTTTCCTCCAGGACACACTCGAACCAGAAACAGAACCAGAAGCTCGAGACGGCGACAGACTCCTTGGCCTTATCTTTATCAGTTTCGGGGAGGCGAGTGAAAAGCACAGCGATGTCCTTGTCGTCACATATCGAGTGCAAAAAGTTCGACGACTGCCCAATTGCTGCACTTTTCCATCGCTCGCTCCCCTCCCCCTCCCCGTCCTGTACCGAAGGACTGGAGTCAAGCTGTAAATAACTTCAGATTGAAGAAGAAATGGAAAATTTTCAATTGAATTCATTGCGTTTTGATTGCACACACACACACACGTGCACATCCACCCACAAGATAATTATCAACTTAGTAAAAAAATAACCAACTGTCTTTTTTAAATGTGCCATAAAATCTCATAAAAGCGCATAAGTGCCTCTTGCACTCTGTCTCTTACTATATGGTTGTAAATATGCTCGTTCTGGTCTCGGTCTCGGGCCCGACATGCACTCAATGAATGAAATGTGTGCACAATGTTGAAAATAGATGTGACACCCATCCCCCGCCCCCCGAAAGTGGGGTTGTGTCTTCGACTTCCTTCTCCATCTCGTGCCTGCCGCTGCGGCTGCCTGCTCCTGATGGTATTGTTGCTGCTCATACGGCTGGCAGGGCATGTAGTGCTGGGTTGTACAACTTCCGCTTATATGGCCAACACAACAGCATGATAAATTGATGCCTGCCAGCGCGGTGCTTTAAAAATGCAAAGAAGGCCGACATCCCAGAGGAAAGTGAGTGCGTGCGTGCGAAGGGGTTGAGTGTTCGGAGTAACCTTTTAGCTTCAAAGTCCTCTGCACCGAATGGTAACCACAGACGTGACCTATAATCTGAAAATTGCATTAAAACGTAATTCCATTAAAATGTAATCAAAAATTTAAGTTAATCACCGTCCGAATCTCATAGCAACCAGCTTTTATTCTAGCATCAGCGTTGCCAGACATTGAAGAAAAGGATAGACATTATTGTACTCTACATGTCATTTATAAGTACACCACCTGGCTATGAAATGACGCCGAACACTAGGTGCCGCCAGTGGGTATATGGTTCAGGTGTAAATGTCGCGTAAGAATTTATAATTTATTAATAATATAATAAAAAGACCGATGCAAACAGTGTCCCAAATAAAATCTTAGCAGAAAAAATCTTTCCCCCACAATAGGCCAAATCTCAATTCCTTCAATATATAGCAGATTATTATATTTGATTTTCAATTTAATTTTATTTTATGCATTTTATTCTCGAACAAAACAACCTGGAAGAGAGAGAGATAACATAATTAGCACATTGCTTTGGAAACTAATTCAAGTTCTTAACGGAAATGAATAATCAGTTGGGGAAAGAAGACAAAATCAGCATGATGTTTGAGATTCTAAGAAGAAAAAACCACTAAGGGCTTCTTCATCATTTCAAAAGAGCAACATGAATACTTTAAGCACAATATACCTCTGTTGTTTTAATGATGGGAGGAGGTCTTTTCCTGTTGTCTGGTGACTACGCCAACAAACGCACTAACAAAATGTGTGATCGATCATTGATCGAAAGGTAACATATCTGCAAATAAAATAAATAGTTCCGAGTTTAATACCAGTATCAAAGAAACGACACAAATATTCATATAGTTATGTTCAGACAGGGAAAAGTTAACAGCACGGTTGTTTAGGGTTCTACTCAGAAGAGGGAATCCTGAGTTAGGATATTCATCAAAAAATCATAGTTATTAAACAACAACTTCAAGGATTTATTTACCTTAAAATATATGTGAAACTCAAGCAAATGTAGTATCCTTAGGACAGTGGTGATACATCAATCTGTAAATGTAAAATGATTGATTAAACAATATCATACAAGTATAACATGCAAATAATTGTAATTGTTAAGCGTTTTATGTTCAGACAGGGAAAAGTGAACAGCATGGTTGTTTAGGGTTCTACTCAGAAGAGGGAATCCTGAGTTAGGATATTCATCAAAATAAAACGCTTCGCAAAAAACAATCTTAATTAAGTTTCCAAAACTTTACCTTATATATTATGCTGAATCTGATCAACTGGTGTAGAGCAAATCAACGGAGCTGCAATTATTTATCAATTAATATGATTTGCTATAGCGGAACGTCAGAAGCTGATTCGACGAGAATATCAGCTTCGAAAACGTTGTAACATGTGGGATTCTAATGAACTATACTGAAGTAACATCATTTAAAGAGTTTAAGGTAAAACAAACGAGTAGAAAACCTACCAGCACATGCAATGCAATACTTTGAAGTCTTCAGGGTACTTCGGATAAAGGCAACACTGTAAAGAAGACATGAAAATTGCTATAAACATCACATATAAACTCGGTCTTCCCATCAATATGATAGTCTAGTTGATTCAGGTAAATTTCTCCGCATTTTCTACTCAGTAGAACGAAAGTTAATAGATAAAAGGTATTCATCATGTAAATATTTTAACCAAACTTTACAGACTGTCGTATACGTATGTATATCTTACCTAGCTTCATGATCCTTATTTTTCTATCTGTTCGATAGACCAGTTCGTAGTTCAGACGTCTTTCAACGGGGGTATACACTACAAATTAAGGTAATTAAGAACCCATTAGAATAAAATATCACTAACATGGTAATAATAGCATGAATTTCAAATACAATCAGTTGCAATAATTGCAGCCATGGAGATTTAATCAAAAACATCATACGGTAATTACTTTCATCATACTATTCAAAATTCATCAAATATTTGTATGTACTTATGCTGTTTACCTTCTATTTATGGTATGAATTGGGGTTCCTCCGTTGTTCCAAATTATGGAGGATCGTCACTAAAAATACAAATGAATACTCTATTTAATAAAATATCGCTAGAATATATACATAGTTTACGTTGACTTGAAAGACAATCAGTTGCAATAATTGCAGCCATGGAGATTTAAATCAATAAAATCATACGGTAATTACTATCATCACATAAAAGTTGTATGTATATTTTTTTCAACAATTTTTCAACTTACACAAAAGCCACATCTGACAGATAGAATACGATTGAAGTGCGGCTGATCAAGAAATGCACCTAAAAAAATAAAAAAAATAATCCAGGTTATTTTCTATTTTCAGTTTTGTATTAAATCAGAAAAAGGTTTATTTTTAATTATCAGAATCCTTTTGGTTTAATTTGAAGTTGTGAATCAACAGCAATTTGTTCAGATTGAACTTATCATCATGCAATGCAATGAATATTGACAATAAATAAAAGAACATACCTTAGTCACGTTTTCCGGATCGAATGACCAACTAAAATGTCGGCTTGCTGAAACGAAAGACAAAATGCATTAATTTCTCATTCCGGCTGGGTTTTCACAACATTTCTGAACTAAATCGTTTTTCAGAATCCTTTTGGTTTAATTGTAAGTTGTGGATCAACAGCACTTTGTTCAGATTGAACTTATCATCACATTCTCGACCCAAACAAAAAAAAAGACGAGCAAAAACTTACCTCTGCATTATATATTTCCAGATATCTGGCCATGTTGAAGCATTGACCTAAAATGAAGAATAATTTAGGTTAAAGTTCATATGGTTAAATTTGTGGTTATTGCTTTATAAAATTGTTTTTCAGAATCCTTTTGGTTTAGTTTTAAGTTGAAAATCAACAGCACTTTGTTCAGATTGAACTTATCATCAGATACAAAATTCTAAATCATTATACACAGCAAGGGGTATCTACCTTTCACATTAGCTGGGCCGGGTACCGGACCACGTGTTGAGGCGGCCTCATACCTAGAAACCTAAGAAAATGTAAATTTGTTTAATTGCCATTCGGATGTTTAACGCATTTATTTAGGTGAAATGATTTATCAGTTGGCCGTTCTTATTCTTTCTACAGGAAAAGAATGCCAGGCCCGAAGACCTGGCACTCGACTCTTCGGAAAATAGAACATTCATCAAAAAATTCGTGCAAAGACGAAACACAGATTTTTCTACATACCCATTTTCAATCCATGAATCCTGCTGCAATCCTTTTGCTCTTTTAACTTTTTTTGATCTCATAAAACAAAGCGTTTCCACTACCATGCTTTGGCGATTTCATTTTCACTTCTTTCCCTGCAACACAACCAGCGCGGCTCAATAAAAATTTTGAAAAGAAAAAATAATATAAACACGGGTGCTAGCAGTGTGACCGCGGACTTATCGATCCGTCAGAAATATACCAAAACATACCGTCTCACTTAAAAAATATACCGTAAATATACTGACGAGCTCAAGTTAGAATATACATATTCCTCGTTTTTGATATTCCGTTGAATATTACTAGCTATATAGAACATTTAGCCGTGCCCACATAATTTTAGACGAGTGATGAATCAATATTCTATACAATTGGTTAGTTTTTAGTCCTTGCTTTTATTGTATTTTGACTAAAACAAGGTTTAAACAAAATAGTTCAACAAGAAAAACAGTCGCTAAAGCCCTAGTATAGGCCTTTGTATACCCTATTTTGTTAATTTTATATGAAGATGAAATGGGATTTATTAAGACCTTTTCTCAAATTGATATTCTTTAGACATATTCGAGTACATTATTTTGAAATTTTGAAAGAAAAAATAATATAATAGAACACGGACTTATCGATCCGTCATATACCAAAACATACCGTCTCACTTAAAAAATATACCGTAAATATACTGAATTCAAGTTATATTTTACATATTCCTCGTTTTCTTTCTTCCGTTGAATATTACTAGCTATATAGAACATTAAGCCATGCCCACATAATTTTAGACGAGTGATGAATCAATTTTCTACTTAACTGGCTTAATTTTAACACTTGCTTTTATTGTATTTATTGTAAAAAAGGGCTAAACAAAATAGTTCACCAAATAAACAGTCGCAATGTTGCTAGTATTTGAAGACATGATGCGTGTATAGTGCCTTTGTGCACCCTATTTCGTTAATTTTATATGTAGATCAAACGCATTTTATTAAGACCTTTTCTCAAATTGATTTGTTTTTGACTTATTCATGTGTATTATTAGTATCTTGTATATATTTATCTCGATCCTGATTCCTACTGAGCCTTGGAAGACAAACGTATTCACAATTCTATATCATCCATTTCCCCCAGGGTATGTGTGCATGGAATTAGCAACATGTTTGTGTATGGAATGAGACTCATTGTTGCAATAGCGAAACTGCGGCGAATCGGGTATTGCCTATATTTCAAGCTATAGATGCCCACTTAGCTTTATCCCATAGATAAATGCATTTTCTACAAGATTGCTTCTTTTAATTACCTTAATGTATTTTATTTTGACTAAAATACGGTTTTCAAGTAAATGTTGCTGCAACAGTGTGTATGGAATGCGCAACATTGTGTATGGAACGAGACTCATTGTTGCTAAAGCGAAACTGCGGCGAACTGCGGCGAATTCAAATTTTCTCATATTCTTTGTTCCGTTGAATAATACTATCTATATAAAACATTTAGCCATGCCCACTCAATTTTGTACGATTGATAAATCAATTCTATACATGATTGGCCTATTCGAAATACTTGCATTTATTGGATTTTTATATAAAATTGAAAATTAAATTAATAGAAGACAAAAATACCATTTAGCACTAAAAAACACCACATGGGAGCGCGGCGAAAACCAGTTTCTACAGTATGACCCTCAGAACAGCACCGAAATACAAAATATACCGAGTGGTGCGCGCCAAATCGAACTTTTTTGAATGTGAGCGACAAGGATTTAAATGTTGTCAACCGGGCCTTTATCTATGCCCATATAATTTTATCCGATTAGTGAATATATTTTCTAATTGCCTGATTTATTTTAACCACTTGCTTTTATTGCATTTTGCAAAAAAAAAGGTTTTAGCGAAAAATGTCAAACAAATGAAACGTAATAAAACGTAAGAGAAAAATCGTTCCAATTGCTCAATTTCTTTATTCCGTTGAATAATGCTGCCTAACTAAAACCCTTAGTTCTGCCACTAACCATACTGTGTGGTTAGTGGTTGTATGAACTGGGCTGCTTGAAAAAATTTCGGTATTTTTGCGTGATAAGTGGAAATTATCGGCGCTTTTTTTTGAAAACAACAATATTATAGCTAAATGGGATTGTTTAATGTTTAACCACTAACCTTTAGTATCTAACTTAACGCTGGACTTATGATGACGCGGAGGTAGATAAACGCCAGAGCCGAAGAGCCTGGGATCTAATTCAGAAAGCAAATCAATATGTTTAAAGGTTTGACAGCACCACTAACCATACAGTATACTGAATTTGAATTCTCCAAAATCGTCAATAATTTCTACATAAAATAGTAAGTATTTCCCAAATATTAAAACCATACCATACCATTGATATTGTACATTGATGAACTCTAGCGGTCCTAAAACCTTAGTAGCTTTAGTTATAATTATATTTATGATTCAACTTTGGATTGAACCAAACTGCCAAGTGAACACATTGAGACGAATTGCGGCGTATGGTAGACGGAACGAAAACGATCTCGGACGGGCTGCCTCCTGTGTGGTCTGCAGGACCATAGGGAGCGACGGTGGCAGCATACTTCAAGGAACGTCAATTTTTGGGCCACACATCGATTCAGTGTCTAGGCAACTGACCCACTGAATTGATCTACTTGTTTATGTTTAATACAAAATTTATTTGTTCTTAACACTTGTTTATTCTTACAAATTTTGAATTGCAACGGTTATACGCGGAATTTCGAATGCACTCGACCACGATAAATTGTGGATTGGAATTCTTAGTCGGCAAACTACGGAAGCTCTCATCATGAGAGATCGAGATTTGCAGGACGAAGGGTTTGCAAATTTTGAAAATATTACGTTCATGTTTTTAACGACGCAGAAGGGGAAGAAACTTAGCTTAAGGTAATAATAATTTCATGTGGAAAACACACCAATGCCTCAACAAGCGGAATGCAGATAATTATGTTGTTCATGTTTTGGCTGCTGCTGCTTCTGTTTCGGTATGAAAGAAATGATGACGTCGACAGTGCTCACGTTCGTTGAGGTGAAAGTATTTTATTGGCTATGAACGTAATGGCTTAAGAACGATTGTATTTTCCCCAAATGTGCAGCATGAAAACGGAAGCAATGAACAACAGCGACATAACCAGAACGGGAACGGGTCCACTATAACACACGTAAAGAGAAAACGGATCATAATTAGCTGGCGAATCTTTCAATAAATCTGGGGGTCACTCGACTTACACTTTGATGCCGGGGGAGTCGTCTGTGTAGAAACGCCACATACCACCAGTACCGGCTCCACCAGGGGCACGGCTTCTGGCTGCGGTGGTGCTGCTGGTCGTCTTGCGCTGCTTCAGCGTGCTCCCACCACCAGCTCCGGCGCTACGTGGCGCGGACAATTTGCTGGGCGAGCGTGAGCCGCTGCCGACGGACGTTGAACTAGCAGGAGCAGGCTGCGTTGAATTCCGAATTAGTCACTAATCGTCCCACTGCAGTGGCTTTTACTCACCATTCTTTATAATTGTTAACTTTTGATTGAACAGCAAACCAAAAACGATTGCTGACCTGGAAAATATGAGTGAAGAGGCGAAGTGATATTTGACGTGCTCGCCTCGGCTTCGTGTTCGTATGGCTTTCTTCGTTTCTTTCATTCCACGTCACTGGCAGGGCTGCAAAACTATCGGTACTAACGATGTTTTCGTCCGGTACGGATGTGGGACTCCTGAAAGAGAATTACAGTTGCTTTTGATGTACATAATTTGCTGCATCAAACTTGTGTGATTATTTAATTGAGGCAGATATATATAGTATTATGCGAATGCCAAATCTCCACACCAAAACTGTGCGAAACTGTATATCATTAATTTTATTTTGTTAAATACACACTGTTTTCGGGATTTCAGATACAAATCATGCATTAAGAATGCATGTGGAGGATTTGTGATATTTTATTATATTCGTTTCGCCAACAATGTACAATATACATCGAATACGATTGCACCCCTGGTACAGATGGAACAGCCTTTACAAATGGTAAACATTGAAAAGTTATATAGAAATCCAAAAAAAGCAAGTGTTTAAAATAAACGAGTCAATTAGAAAGTAGTATGAGTATTCTATCTAGCTAGTAATATTCGTCGGAATATCAAAACGAACTTGAATTCGTCAGTATATTTACGGTATATTTTGAAAATGAGGCGGTATGTTTCGGTATATTTATCGATAATTCCGCGGTCACACTGCCTATGTCGGCTTGGCTTTTTTTTGCGTAAAAAATAATTTACTGCGCGTGCCGATTTTACACTAAATAATGTTATCAATACAACCCCAACTAAGTTGTTCGCATAATTTTATGAAGTAATGCAATTAATTGGTTAAACTCATAGCACATCCGCGAGGCAGGGACGCGTACCATACGAAAACTGTAACATGGAGGATGTAGAATATCTTGATGAGTATAAAGATTTGGTGTTGCCAGGTGCGTCCCCAGTCCGTCCGAATACTTTTTGCAATATTCCTTTTGTGGCAAATGTTGAACTATTCCGTACTTTTAGGAATTAAAACTGGCGATGGGCGCACGCCAGTGCCTCCCCGGCGGCGCCGAATTTCGTCAGACTCGAGCAACTCGTCCTCGATTGATGCAGATATATTTCAGAAGCTATTCCATGGGAAATTTATTGACGACGAACAGCTCAACGAGGGCAGTTCAAAATCAAGGGAGAGGCACCGTCTTCCTCGACTCCCCTCCTCCAGCGATGACGGTTCCAACGACGCCTTCGACGCTCTGTTTCATAGGAAACTTAGCAAGCCAAAATCAAACAAAAGGCGGGAGCGTTTCTCGTCCTTTGATTCTGTAGACGAATTGGGTAAGTCAACCCCAAACGAATTGATTTTAGATCCATAATAAAAATAGGGTTCATTTCTTTCTCAGGCCAAGCCCTTATGCGTCCAACACAAAGGTCAACTGTACCAAAGCCAAGTACATCTCGTGGCGCAGGGAGGAAATCCGAGACGGAGGGATTGCACAGAGGCAGTGGCAGTCAAAGCAACAGCAGTGGGTTTGGGAAGTCCAACAAGTCCCTTCCAGAGCACCGTTCCTCGGGCAAAATCGGAGTTCATGGGCTTCAATCAAAGAATGCGGCCAAAGGCTCTAGCAATGCCAGCAGCAGCCATTCTGTGTCTAAAAATAGCAAGACTGTAACTTTACATAAACCAGACCTTAGGCTACCAAAGAACGAGCCCAAGACAGATCCCTTGAGTAAGATCCAGCTATCCATTTGGGTAAAAAGATGAAACCAACTAATTTAACTATGAACTATCTAATCGCTACAGACTTGGGGGAACTCTATGGAGACTCGGACAGCGATTCTTCGTACGAGTTCGAATCGGATTTCTTCGACGATCCAGACACGGATGATGAGGAACCGGTCATTGACTTATCGACGGATACCAGCAGGACCACTTCGTTGGCGGGTAAGTCAACGTTATTGACTAGTTGATACTGCCAACCCTCTGATAATATTTATAATGTATAAAAACACAAAAACCGCGTAGAAACTGTGACGCCTGTTGTTTCCGATGACGAGGGCGAAGGCCAGGAGCAGCAGGAGCTGCAGCGGCAACGGAAAATGAGCGGTGATAGTGAACTCCTGCAAAAGTATTTGAATAATCTAAGTTGTGCCGAGTCGCCGCCGATCTATAAAAAACAGAGTAGTGCTAAAAAATCGCGTTCCAGTGAAAAGAAATTACCTTCCTCCGAACAGGTTATGCATTCTAAAGAGCAACCAGCGGGTAAGTGTGTCCATGCGTCCATTGGGGTGTCAGGTCTGCCAGTTTACCCTACTGTACATATCCCCCCACCCCCACCAAGCATATCTCTTACATTTATAACTTTTTCTGCTTCTGTTTCGCAGCTAGTCCCACAGTGGAGCAGAAGCAGAAGGCAGAGAAAGCAGAGCCGGAGCAGGTGCCACCAGTGGAAGCCGGTTGCAGCTCTTTAGCGGGAAATCCAGTGCCGATCATTAGCAGTAATAGTAATCCCTACGAAGTGGATGAAAGCATCACTCTCGAATCCCTTGAGCGCATGACCCTCGACTTGGCCGAGCAAATCAATGAAATTGATGTGGAGCGCTCGTTCGAATTTGAAAGGCGTTCCGCTTCAAAGCCACGCAGCAGATCTCGATCTAAGTTCTCGGCAGATCCGGGCAGATCGACTCCAGTCTTGGGCAATAGCCATGTGCGCAAGTTAACCTATTCCAATGAACAGCTCGACAGCTGTGGCTCATCGAAGACCACGCTGAGGAGGGCCAAGAGTGATTCAGCATTTTCAAAGAGGGGACGCGGCCGGAGTCGAAAGAATAAGAAAAACCGGGCAGCCACGACGGAGGAAAAAGTGGTCAAGCCAAGTGAAACTGTGGGCGAGGGGCAAGAAGTCCCAGTGAAGAGGAAACGCGGAAGACCCCGCAAGATAAGGCCACCGACAGAAGCGGAAACCGCTCTGTTGGCCGTAAATGCTAAGGCCCCAACAGAGACAACAGAGAAGGATGCAACTGAGGATGCAGTTCCAGGAACCAGTGGCGCACAGGTGGAAAAAGTGGAAGAAAAGGATACGGATAAGGCGGAACAGATCAAAAAGCCAGAAGCGGGAAGTCCGCGGGAACTAAACACAGAACTAGATAGAGCCAAAGATGTTACAGAAATTACAGTTTACTCACAGGACGAAATTATCACAACATCATTATCACAATCTCATCAAATATCAGAACCATTATTAGATCTCAAAACAAAAGACCAAGAAGCGAATCTCCAAGTGGAAAAGCCCACTAGATCGGACACGTCCACTGAATCGTTCAATACGGCTCATGGCGAGTCCTCCATGCCTCAAAGTCCCGTGCAACCAATCATCGGAGCTGAAGGTGAAACACTAACCGAAGCGAGTGGAGACATTGTGTGGCAGAGTCTGGACGGAAACAGTAACGTGGACGAGCGAATGGTCTCTAAAGTTGAATTAGCCATTGAGTCAAAGACAATTCAATTGGCTGTCGAAACGCAAGAGTCAATGGCGGAGCATACCGTAACAGACCCAATCGAAAAGCCAGGAGTCGATTTAGAATCGTCCGAAAAGGATGTTGGTGTTGCAACGGTTCTACCGGCATCTGTCGATCAATTGACGGCTGATATCTCTGTCCAGGAGGATGATTTCAAATTGGAACTACCCAAAGCTGTGGATCAATTGCTCACAGAACCCTCCGAAGCGATGGAACAACTTGAAACTGTTCTCCCCGAAGCGGTCAACAGCATTCGAAAAGTCCAAATCAGGGAGGAACTTGTATTGACAGAGCAGACTGATTCCCAGCTAGCTGAAGATATAAAATTGGCCGAGGAGATTCTAGCCGCCGAATGCGAAGGCATTCAAATAAGCGATACGGCTCTGGCGCTTCCTGGCGAAATTCCTGTGATTGAAATTATTAAGGAGCTTGAGCAGCAGACAATAGCAGATGCTTTAAGCCCACCAGAGGCTACCGAAGAAATAGCTCTTGTTTCTGCCAAATGTCCTGCAGATAAGACTGTAGTAGAAGCATTGCCAGCATTGCAGGAGTCGTCAGGTAAAGAACCATTAGCCGAGTCAATTAGCAGCGAAATTGGTGACAAAATTCCCACCAGCTTCTCAGAAAACACAGGAAAGAAAGAAATCAATCGCAATCCTTCATCACCCGTTGTTATGCCCAAGAACTATGAATCGGACGTTGGTTTGCCTCCTTTAGCTTCCCGAATGGCTAATCGTTCGGCTATAACCATTTCCAGCCAGCCCAAAAAGTCCACACCAGTCAAGCGCGCACCGAAAGGCGAAAGAAATACAGTCTTGAACGAGCCATCAATAAGGAGCAGCCCGAGACTGGGTAGATCGCCAGCGGGAAGCAAATCATCGCAAGAGCCGCAGTCGGCCGATGAGACCATTGACAATTACAGATTTGGAAGGGAGCAGGCTAGGTCCAGTGGGACTGAGACGGATAACGGTGAGAAATATGCCATCCAGAGAAAGTCCCGGAGCACACAAAAGAAGGAAAAGAAGGGGAAAAGCACAGAAAAAGTCAAACCAGAAGATGAGAGCCAGGATGAGACCGCCACCGACATGGTTGAGACTGAAACTGAGAATGAATCACCAGCACCATCAGCAGCACCACCACCAGCTGAGGCTGGGGATCTGGCTGAGGGAACCAGGAGTGGGTTAAAAGTCGTACCAGCTGGATGTTCAACTGGAGGAACAGGAGGAGGAGCACACAGCTCAGCCAAATCGAGTCTAGTTTCCAAAGCGACCATAGACACGGTTAAACGGTTTGACAGAAGGGACTCCCCCAAAGCAGATTCATCAAAGACAAGGGCACAATCGAAGGAAACCCCACACGCGTCACTAAGCAAAGACATTTCTTCGGTCCATCCTAAAGTTGAGGCGCCAGTTGTGCAATCTTTGGCGGAACGAGTTGCCAGGTGTGAAGAAGTCAAGGAGAAGAGCGACAGTACCCCAACGGATTTCAAAGAGACACCCAACACAGATCCTGTTGAATCAAAGCTGGAACCACCCAAGGAAGACTTTA